TAGAGCTGCATTTTACATTTACACTGTAAACTTTTCATTTTTACATTTCATCTGCAAACTTCACATTTAGACTATAAACTTTATATTTATACTATAAAATTTACATTTAGACTTGACTTGACTTGAATTTAGTTTGTACTTTTTAGGTTTAGAGTGTAAACTGTACATTTAGACTGTAACCTTTAGATTTAGACTATAAACTTTACACTTGTTTTTTAAAGATTACATTTGGACTGAAAACTTTACTTTTAGTTTGTAAAATATACATTTAGAATGGAAATTGTACATTCAAGCTTTACATGTAGACAATAAACTTTACATTTAGTCTGTAAACTTCACATTTATATTTAAACTTTACATTTAGTTTGTAACCATTGGATTTAGAGTGTAAACTTTACATTTAGACTATAAACTTTATATTTAGACTGTCAACACTGCATTTGGACTGTAAACTTTACATTTAATCTGTAAACTTTACATTTAATTTAAACATTAGGGTTAGATTTATCCTTTACCTTTAGAATGTGAACTTTACGTTTAGACCTAAACTTAACTCTTACGCTGTCATCATTACATTTAGGATTTACATTTAGATTTAAACTTTACATTTAGACTGTAGACTTTACATTTATTCTGGAAACTTCACATCTAGATTAAAGATTTAGATACAAAAATTTAGATTTAACTTTTACATTTAGTTTGCAAATTATTTTACATTCAGGCTGTAACTTTTAGATTTGGACTATATCTTAAAATTTGCTCTGTAAACTTTATATTCAGACTCAAACTTTACATTTATATTTAGACTTTGGATTTAGAGTGTAATCTTTACATTTAGACAGTAAAACTTTTACACTTGGTTTGTAAACTGAATGTAAACTATACATTGAGAGTAAACTTTATATTTAGACTTAAACATTTAGATTTAACCATTTGTCTTGTAATATTTACATTTAGATTGTAACCTTTAGATTTAGATTGTAAACCTAAAATTCGGTCTGTAACTTTACACATAAACTGTAAACATCACACTTAGCCTGTAAACTTTACTTTTAGACTGTACATTTTATATTGAGATTTAAACGTTATATCTAGTTTGTAACTTTTACATTTAGACTGTAAACTTAACACTTGGTCTGTAAACTTTACATTTAGACATTTACAGGTTTTTAGTTGTTACATTTAGATTTAACAGTGTAAATTTTACATTTGGACTGCAAACTTTACATTTTGATTTAAACTGAACACTTAGGCTTTACAATTAGACTGTAAATTTTACATTTAGTCGGTAACATTTTTAGTTAGAATTTAAACTTTACTCTTAGAATTAGACTTTACATTTAGGATTTACATATAGACTGTAAATCTTGCATTTAGATGTTAAATTTAGATTTAGTTTGTAACCCTTACATTTAGACTGTAAACTATACATTTAAACTGTGACATTTTCATTTAGATTTAGATTTTAGATTGATGTCATGTGGAACCTTTACGGTTTGATTGTAAACATTAAATTTAAATTTATACTTTACACTTTTTTTTATTTTTTTATTTCGACTTAAATTTAAATTTAGATAATACATTTTACATTTTGCCTCTAAACTTTATATTTACACCGTAACTTTAGATATAATTTGGAACCTTTACATTTGGATTTAACTTTACATTTGGACTGTAAACTTTACATTTAGACTTTACGTTAAGGCTTTCCATTTAAACTATACATTTACATTTTATCTACAACTTTAGATTTACACTGTAAACTTTACATCTAGCAGCAAATTCATTTACACGTGAACATGTGTGTGTGTGTGTGTGTGTGTGTGTGTGTGTGTGTGTGTGTGTGTGTGTGTGTGTGTGTGTGGTGTGTGTGTGTGTGTGTGTGTGTTTGTGTTCACAGACCTGGAAGATGGAGTCCAATTCTGCCTGAGGATCCTGACCAATAGAAAAACTTGCATCCTCGTCTCTGCTGACCAATAAAAACAGTGAAGCTGTTTAGTTCCTGGTTTAGTCCTGGTTTAGTTCTGGTTTAGTCCTGGTTTAGTCCTGGTTTAGTCCTGGTTTAGTTTGTACCTCTGATGTGAGTCTTTGGAGTTTTCACTTGTCAGAGACTCTGTGGTGGGTCCATAGGGGGCGCTGTCGTCTCTGAGGAACATTCACAGACGTATTTGAAAAACTGAAGAAACACACAAACACACACACACACACACACACACACACACACACACACAAACACACACACACACACACACACACACACAACACACACACACACAACACAGAACACAGAGAAGGAGGAAGGAGTCGTGTTTTTTTTCTGTCGCTCAGTGGAAAAATACTGTGTCCCAAATCAGACTCTATATACGGTCTATGTTCAGACTCTATATACAGTCTATGTTCAGACTCTATATACGGTCTATGTTCAGACTCTATATACGGTCTATGTTCAGACTCTATATACGGTCTATGTTCAGACTCTATATACGGTCTATGTTCAGACTCTATACGGTCTATGTTCAGACTCTATATACGGTCTATGTTCAGACTCTATATACGGTCTATGTTCAGACTCTATATTACGGTCTATGTTCAGACTCTATATACGGTCTATGTTCAGACTCTATATAGGTCTAGGTCTATGTTCAGACTCTATATACGGTCTATGTTCAGACTCTATATACGGTCTAGTTCACTCATATATTCGGTCTATGTTCAGACTCTATATACGGTCTATGTTCAGACTCAGGTTTCTTTGTGTCGTGGATCGAGTTGAGTCTTGATCTGGACTTAGTTCCAGTTCAGGATTTCAGGGTGAGTCGACTTGTTAAAGACCTTTGATGGAACAGGCCCTTTAACTCGAGAGTCTGAAGACGTCGACCGTCCGACCAACTTTATGAAATCCTTTTCTAGTGACTGTGACACTGACCTGAGCTGTGCAGACGCTCCACTCTGCTCTTTTTTAAAGTCGATGCCCAAGTCTTTGGAGAAGTTACTGCTCAGAGAGACTCCGCTGGGACCAGGACCTGCTTCAGACCTGATATAGTCCTGGTTTAGTCCTGCTTTAGTCCTGATATAGTCCTGGTTTAGTCCTGGTTCAGCTCTGGGTCTACGTCCAGACCCTGGTCCTGCTCTGGAGTTCTCCATTTTTCTGCAAACATAAAAAGTCTTGATGAAGTTTTATATTTCACATTTTGCGCTCGTCTGTTTCCAAAAAGACAAAGTGAACAAACTCCTGTGAGCTTTGCTTTGGGACGGACTGAACGAGGGGAGTGTGTGTCCGAGGTTTGAACTCAAACATTTCAAATCCAAGTGTAAAACAGAAGAATGAAACATGTAGTGAGTGTTTGGTGTGTGCTCCCTCTCCGCTCTCCTTCTGTGGGCCTGACTTTCAGCTCTGGAGCCGTGAGTCTGGGCCGCACTTGTAGCTGTGAGTCTTTAAAGTCCTGTGCTGTGCTGGAGCTCCACGCCTCTGCTATAAAGTTTACAAGTGTCATAGCAACCAAAGAGCCAATCAGGCTGTGTAACCGGCGGCAGACTGATTGACAGGCAGAAACGGCTCCACTTTAAACCACCTGACTCCTCCCACTGAGCAACAGAGAAAAACACACTACAGAGACAAACAATTTCACAATAAACCTACACTGTCTCTTCTTCATTCAGCACACAGTAATAATCTACATTCATATCAAAAATAACGGCTTAATAACGTGTAGAAAATCATATGACATAATGTGCGTCACATGATCAGCACCACGGAGCGAACACGCCGATTTCAACTACCAGAGAACAGAGGTTCAGTTTGGCGAAGGCGCCACGTCGGAGGAGAGAGACGCTTCATCGGACAGGAAGGAGACAAGTATGAAATAAAGTCTTCTAACGCGCTCAAGTGTGCACCCATGGACAATTAGTCACAGAGGAAAGAGGGGAAAAGGTATAAGAAAGTAAGAAAGTGTTCAAAAATATTTGTGCACATAGAATAAAACTCCGTGCATATTTGTCTGTTGTTGAGGGTAAAATCAATATTTGTAAACTCTCCAATGAATCCAGTCGTACATAAAATATATTGTGTGTATTTTATCATCAGAATACAAATTGAAAAGTAAAAGTTATGATGTCAAGAATCACCAAATGAAAAAGTATGATTACACTTTCATCAGTACGAATACAAATTCACAGACGGGACTTTACTGTCAAAAACACTTCATCACTTCACAGACTTTATTTATCGAGCAGAAGAAACATGGATCAAGATCAAGACTGTGCATGTTTAAGTTTGTATCAGAGTAAAAACAGAGTAATGACACAACAAGGAGCTACAACAGAACAACAACAAGTGGGTTCATTCATATTTATTGTAAAAATGTTTTGTCTTGTCACATTAAATTCGTGAACCGAACTCTGCTGTGTGATATTGTGTAGAAACTCCTCGTCTGAACGGGAAACTGCACCTACATCTTTGTAGAAACACAGTGGAGCCAGTTTTCTAACATCAAACGTAACGTTATTCCAGGGATAATGATCAAATATCAGGTTCTCTGTGTGTTTAGATTAACCCTTCCAGACCTAAGGGCATTTTTGGTACATTTGTCCTCGCCTGGATTTTTTTCCTAATTTTGCTATTAAAACTCCCCCTTTTATCCCCTAATGAAGTGCTATACATCCTTTTTTTCAGTACAACCTGTTCTTTCACAATCTGAATGCTGTAGTTGTGTCATATGGCTGTAATAAAAGCTATAGAACTAGAAATACAAAGGAAAAAAAAAACGGAAAATAATATTCACACTCCTTTATTCAAAACACACAGCAAACATGTATAAACAACTTTTTAGACATAATAAATACTTAGTTTAGGGTCTTAGCTACAAAAGTGCAAAATATGAAGTTTGTAGGTATTCTAAAAATGTCATTTTTGCCCTCAAAACAAAAAAAAGTGCACTCGTCCAAGTCCTTCACTAGTGCCAATCATGGAAGCAGTTCCTATCAGGCACCAGGCATAGTGCCACATCACAGGCCTTGCATTTCCATGCAGTACACTGCCTCTTCCCCTGTGTTTGTCAGCAGTGCACACATGACAGCCTCCCATATGATCCTTGCCTGCTGCGGTCTTCCTGGTGTGGTGGTTAGTAAGTGTGGTGGTTGAGATGAAGTACTGAGGAGTGGAGATCTGGATCTTCCATGCCCTCCATCCCTGCCCCCTCCTCCTGCTCTCAGAGGAGATCGTAGGTGTTGAAGGTGTTGATGGTTCTGGACGGGTGGCTGGGGTTGTAGACACTGATGAAGCTGGGGAGACACCTGAAGTGAATGGCACAGGGGAATCTGGAGGAGCCTGAGGAACATCCTCTGACTCAGCACTAAACAAAAGAAAAGGAAAAAAATGTTAGTTTGTGTAAAACTTGTGTATTACATATGTACTACAACAAGTCTAAGTCTAGTGCAGCAGGAGCAAACACAATGCACAACCCCCATCCCCCACCCAAATGGTGTCAACATATTATGACCTCACTAATGAGGACATCCACACCTCCCAAACCACTTCATCCACTTTACACATGTAGTTTGTAGCTCGTTATTACAAACAACAACATACATGTCATAAGTCTAGTGCAACACAGGTAAACAGTTGTCTGAAGTTCACAATCTCATCCCCCACCTAAATGATTATACCCCTCACGCATCAAATAAAACTGTATCCAAACAATGCGTAAATAGGCATTACGCATGCTACTATTATGTATTTACGCCCGTTTACTACAAGTGTGCATGATGTTTGCTCTAAATAACTATGAAATATTTGCTACTTACTCTTCAATAGGGTCCAGATCCTCCAGGTAATCCAACTCTTCATCTGTATAAAAAGTGTCCACATCGGACTCGGCGTCACTGCCAGGCTCCGTTACCATCGCCACTGCTTCCAGCAAGGAAAGTGACGCTTTGCGTGCCATTTCTGTTCGTTCGTTCTTTCTTTCTTTCTTTCTTCTGATAGACTTCCCGGAGCTCTTTACCCTCTGTGCGCAAAACAACAAATGCCTTGGCACACGAATGTGTGTACGCCAAGCACCTGCTCACACCCGCGCGCACCCGATTCACTGCTCGGCACTAGGCTGTTTACGTCCTGTTGGGTGTATTATGTATCATTTGCAAGTAAAAAAAAAACTTTTCAAATAAAAATAGTAAGGGATGCGCAATTACGCACACCGAGATGCGTAATTTGCCATTTACTTGAGAAGTAATGGTACTTAGGTCTGCTTTATCAAATGCTATGAGCACAGACGCTCAGAGGAGTAACTATCTTCACTTACAACAATCTTTGGCAAAGTTTGGGCCAATGAAAATGGATGGAGCGCGTCACGCGCCGAAGAGCGAAGTTCCTATTGGACACCTGTTTTTACTACGTCACCACGCAGCGTGCGTGTGACGTAGGATGATGCCGGAAAGATGCTCGTAAAGCCACGGGTCTTATCTATACAAGGGGAAAAAAATTAAGTCTCTATCTTTTATGGTTAAAAAGTTATGCGCAGTTATGTAAAACATGTCCGCCGGTATCGTATACGATACTGTCGGTCTGGAAGGGTTAAAACATTCACAGCTACAGCCACAGCGAGCATCAGTCAGTCTGAACCTTCATCTCAGCTGCATTTCTCACATGAAATGGGACCAAAAGTTCTTCTGGACGCTGAAATGTCCCAGTTTCTACCAAACACCAAACTGTCCTGGTTACAGACGTCACAGCCAATGAAATGTTCCACATTACACTTTAATGCAGCTTCAGCATCAATTAATGTTGGTGTTTACAGACAACACCTTGGTATGTTTACAGTATTTACCGTAAGTTTAACGTCACCGTGTCGTGGATGGATTTGCTGGTTCATTATAACTCATATATAACCCAGTGTCTGTAACCAGGACAGTTTGGTGTTTGGTGTAAACTGGGACATTTCAGCGTCCAGAGGAACTTTTGGTCCCATTTCATGTGAGAAATGCAGCTGAGATGAAGGTTCAGACTGACTGATGCTCGCTGTGGCTGTAGCTGTGAATGTTTTAATCTAAACGTGAATTTGTATTCGTGCTGATTAAAGTGTAATCGTAAATTTTCATTTGGTGATTGTAATTCTTGATGCTGTAACTTTTCCATTTGTATTCTGATGATAAAATACACACAATATATTTTATGTACGACTGGAGTCATTTGAGAGTTTACAAATATTAATTTTATGTTCAACTACAGACAAATATGCACCGATTTCTATTCTATGCGCACAAATATTTTTGAAAACTTTCTTACTCCATAAAAAGGCGTTAATAGAGAATACGGCACAGATGAATGAAACAGCGAGGAAACGGGGAGTGAACTGGTGTGTGTGGGATAAATCAGTGTGTGTGCGCGGCCATGTCAGTGCAGGCCGCGGTTACGTGTAGCAGGAAAATGCCGCCGAGAATCATAAAAGGACTGACTCCATCACACACACAACAGAACACAGAGGAGGAAGGAGTCGTGTTTTTCTGTCGCTCATCAGATTAAAATGAGAAGAAAAATACTGTGTCCCAAATCAGACTCTATATACTATGTTCAGACTCTATATACGGTCTATGTTCAGACTCTATATACGGTCTATGTTCAGACTCTATATACGGTCTATGTTCAGACTCTATATACGGTCTATGTTCAGACTCTATATTCAGTCTATGTTCAGACTCAGGTTTCTTTGTGTCGTGGATCGAGTTGAGTCTTGATCTGGACTTAGTTCCAGTTCAGGATTTCAGGGTGAGTCGACTTGTTAAAGACCTTTGATGGAACAGGCCCTTTAACTCTAACTTTATATTTCACATTTTGCGCTCGTCTGTTTCCAAAAAGACAAAGTGAACAAACTCCTGTGAGCTTTGCTTTGGGACGGACTGAACGAGGGGAGTGTGTGTCCGAGGTTTGAACTCAAACATTTCAAATCCAAGTGTAAAACAGAAGAATGAAACATGTAGTGAGTGTTTGGTGTGTGCTCCCTCTCCGCTCTCCTTCTGTGGGCCTGACTTTCAGCTCTGGAGCCGTGAGACTGGGCCGCACTTGTAGCCGCGACTCCGGCCACGGACTCAGCCGCGGGCACCGGCTCTGAGCTGAGCTTGTTATTTTAGTTCAGTGCTGGAGTAACTGATTTACCCAGATACCATTGGAAGAAAAAATGTGATTGGTCCATTTCCATTCCATTATATTAACCCTTTGTTTCCTAAGAAATATCAGTCCAAGTTTATAACACTGATCTAGAAATTATTACTGGTGTCGTGTTTATTACTCACAGCATAAAAAAATATTCAATAAATATATTAGTACAAACGTCCATTCAATATTTTTTCTTGACCCTTCCCTGAAAACCCTGAAGACTCTGAGGTTTCCCTGTGGAAGAAATGTTCTGTTTGCACAACAAATGTTTGGCTCTTTCATTTACATTTCCAATAAAAGAGCAGCTGTACTCTACTTTTTAATTCATTAATTGGTTTTGTGTATAACATGCGATTAATCACGATTAATCACGATTAATCGCTCGAACTCATGCGATTAATCGCAATAATTTTTTTTTTTTTGCCCAGCCCTAGATTTTATATTAAAATTATCATCATTATTAGTACTAATCTGCATAAATAAATTCAACTTTACGACATAAAAACCGTAACGACTCTAGATCCACATCAGCTGTTTGACATTATAATGTGTTTAATGCAGATTTGCGCAAGTCTCACAGAAACAAAACTTAAAACTGCATGGCTAATTTGGGGGAACTAAGTGAAGAAAACATCTGCTCTTGTGCTGATGTGGTTCAACTTGTGTTGGATTAAAAGACATGACTCAGGTGAATACAGGTTAGTGTGACCAGATTTGTGTTTGTCAAAACCAGGACAGCGTACGGGGGGAGGGGGGCGGGGCCTCGTCATC